GAATTACTGTGGGGCATATGATTGCTTTCATGAAGAAGGAACATCAAAAAGTCCATTCCTGTTCCAGAAAGCTTGCTTAATTATATGGTGTCTCCCTCTTGAAGACTCATATTGAGTTCACTTTTGTAGCCTGTGGCATATAGGTTTATAGTTGTATACTTCTCAAATAAATTTGCTGCTAAAAATTAAGAAAAAATCTTCCTGCTTCTGTACCATTATAAATTGAAATTAACCTATATCATTTCTGACTTAATCCTATTTGAGTGGTTTTGTAAAACAAATGTGCTGTAATACTTTGAGATACTCACTAGTCCAGGCGATCTTACACACGAATTTTGATTTTGTATTTCTCCCTACATTTCCCCGTAAAGTTTTGGAGTGCTTTCAACTAACCGTAGTTAAAATTTTATTTCTTAAAAATTGTATTAGTAAAGGCTTGAATTAGATTTTTTCAATTTTTCTGTTTGATGCTGCTTTATAAGCCACAATGATTGTGTACAGATAAAGGAGATTATTTTGGAGGGTCTAATTATCCATTCTGGCTCTGGAGTGCACACTCATGTACCTGCTATTTTTATTTATTAGAAACCTTAACTCTTACACTAAGTATGGCCTCAAATTTGCAGCTTTTATGAGCTGATTACAGGCAGAAAACAAAAACATAAAGAAACAAACAAACAAAAACATTGATAGTGCAAGGAGAATTTCTGTATGTGCTCAAAGTAGGGGTTCCCCTGTCAGTCACAGGTACCTCCAGCAACTCGCAAACAATTTTCACGAAGTTTTTGTCATTAGTGTGGAATTACAATGTATTGTACAGTGGTGGAATAAAATCCCTGGAGATAAATAGTGAACTTTGGAAAGAGGTATAGTACATATTGGCAATTGCCAGAAAGAGCAGAAGGTCCAACTGACAGATGAATGGGATTGAGAGGTGTTATTTCACATTGATAAGTATAGGCTTTATTCTCTATCATGTGTTCTATGTCTATCTCCTTTCAAACCACTTCCTGGTAGTTGTTCAAACCTGTTGACTGGAAATTAAGTATTGAATTTAATTTTTACTCTTTCACATATTTTGTCAAAAATGATATGTTAACTGTAAACATTAACTAGTAGTATATATCTGAATGTAAGACCTCTAATAAAACTTCTACTTGCATTAAAATGCAGAGAACTAGCTTTCTAATATTGTATTTATTGATAAAACCTTGTAAAGTAGCTCTACAAAGAAAAATACATGTAGACTTTAAGGTGTTTTATTGAAAGTGGTTTGGATTCTGAACCCTCTGCCCTGTCACCTCTTGGAGCTTGGAGTAAATGTTAATCCCAGATGCTTAACCATAGTTGTCAACAATTAAAACTTCAGGTGCAAGCACACAGGTATTACACAGTAGTTGTGTAACAGTCATTTTCAAATACATCACTGCATAACAGAGTACTGCTGAAGCTAAGGCAGGGTGAGCTTTCGTTAGCAGTGTGTTGGTCATTTCTCAGTGCTCTAGAACTTTCTTCACTAAGAGTTGTGTTCTCTAAGAAGTTCAGAAGAGTTGAGTTTACCTTTGTGCTGGAGAAAGACTCCAGAAGGCTGCCTGGTCTACCTGTTGCCTCTTGTAGAAGCACTGTGCTCTACCACAGGTTTCAGTATTATGAGATTTAACCAAAGGTTTTCAATTTCTTGACTCTGTGTAGAGTAGCAAGAAGAATCTTCACAACCTGCACTACCGTGGTGTGACATCATGAAGCTTTTCCCCAGCCCCATTTCTATTGAGATTGAAATTGAGCAGAGTTGAGTAGTTGTTGGAGATTTGATTGTTGGCTGTAACTGGATATTGCAACCCGTTACAAGTAGGATATAGTAATTACTGTCTGTAACTTGATCTGTATCCCATGGGAGTATCCCATGGGAGAGCATAGAGAGACCAGGATTTCTTTCAATGTTTAGTTTAGTAAATGCATTTATTTGAAAAAAAAATATTTAATATATTGAAGAAAGCTAAAGTAACCTCTTGAACTCAAGAATAGAGTGCTGGATTATATGATGGTTTTCATATAATTAATAAGGATACACTGAAGGCTTAGTTTATTAAATATATGTTTCTCTTACTATATGTTATAACTTGTTTTATACTATATATGAATTTTGCTGATAAGTATATTCTGTTTTGAATTTGGGGAAATTTCTGTTTGGGGATTCTCACTAAGCTCAGGTTAGACCCATTTTCCGTATATCTCAAGACATCTTCTCATATGGAGCAGTGTTTTGGCTCTCACACTACCCTTCTGTGACTGTATGTAATGACCATCCGATTCAAATAAATACTAGGATTTTTTTCTTTTAAACAAAGAGCACTCAGTAGCCATTTGCTACAAAGACTACTTTAGATAGAAAGAATGAAAAGATCAAGCTTGCTTTCTTTTTCTTTCTTTCTTTCTTTCTTTCTTTCTTTCTTTCTTTCTTTCTTTCTTTCTTTCTTTCTTTCTTTCTTCTTCTTTCTTCTTTCTTCTTTCTTTCTTCTTTCTTTCTTTCTTTCTTTCTTCTCTCTCTCTCTCTCTCTCTCTCTCTCTCTCTCTCTCTCTCTCTCTTCGTCTCTTTCTTTCTTCTGTTTAAGAACAGAATATCTAAAGCAAGAGCAGAGGGAATCCTTCAGCCACTTCCCATGCAGGAGGAGAGCAGTTTAGGATTTTTTCTTGCTCCCTTTTCCATTCCTCGACAGAAAGAAAAGCCAGCCAGCATTAGAGAACCTCCTGTAATTTCTGTACACAAATATTCATGGCTGCTGGCACTTTACTTAATAAATCACATACCTGAAGTAAATAAATATTTAACTTAGTCAAACCCCCTGTGGTGGAAAAGGAAACCTGAGACAATTATTCTGTTTAACCATATAAACGGATTGTTTTATCGTTAAACCAAACTTTATATCTCTTTTGGAGAAAGCATATATTATTAGAACAGTAGAAACTGGAAAGTTGGCTTTTCAAACCGTTCTAATGAATTCAGTTCATGTTTTTCCTTGAAAAGCTTCAGTCAGTGAGACACTGCTATGTACACAAATGTAGTAAAATACTACACTATTTTATTTGCAGTGTCGCAAGATTTGGACCATGAATGTGAAAATACACATACATATGCACACAAACACAGAAACAGACTGATCGCACAGTAAGAATATTAGGATGCATGCCACGCATTCTTTGATAACTGCTGGCACACGGCTTCAGCACATGAATTTGAGTTCCTAAAACCACCTGGTAGGTTGAGTTGAAAAACCTTTTGAAAAATACATCAAAAAGTTGCTATGGCACTGCAGGGGATACTTATGCATAGAATAAAAGAACTAGTGTAGTGTTCTGTTCAGCAGTTCTTCACCAACAAACAGTTCTGAATTCTAAAAGTATTTTGACACTTCTATGTTAAAACACTACTTAGTGTTCTTTAGTGTTAACATTTTGGTCTATCTTTTTTAAAGCAAAATCAAAGTCAAGCACTTAGTATAGATTTATTTCCTTTTTCTTCTGCTTCTTTACAAATATCATGTGAAAACTTTTAGGTAAATTCTCTGGTTCCACTCCTGGAAGGCAGTGTGACCAAAAGGCAGTGTACATGCTTCTGAAACATATTCATCTTCTGCAGTCTTTAACAGAATTCTGATTATTTTGTAGGGAAACTCCATATAGTAAAGCTGTTTTGAGACTGAAAGGAACAGAATTACATGGCTGTCTTGTGGGACTGTGTATTTCTGTCATTGAGTAGACAGACTTTGTATAAGTCCAGTTTGACACTGCCATGAGGAAGAACTACGGGATTTGGACGTGGCCTATCCTGTAGCCCATATTATTTGCATTGAAATAATAAAAAAAGAAAGTCAGTTGTTTCTGTGCTTCATTGATAGCTGAAGAATTTATAGTATTATTGAGGTTTTACATTGTTCTATGTACAAATTGCTGGTTTTGCTTCTACTCTGACATATCTAATTTTTTTGAGGTTACATTTGACTCAAAATTGAAAATATAAATACAAAAAAAAGGTAAAAAAAGTCAAATCTGATTTCTTTTGCAAACATAAATAACATGATAATCAGGTAATTTGAAACTGCCTAGTAACAAAGACAGTTCTGTATGTTCTATAATATTATGAGATCATATCTGTATTCCAAGCTGTCATTTATGTCAACGTTTCAGTTTCTTAAAGTAAATCAGTATAATGTACTGACTCATCCAAGAACCATCACAATATTCTTGATGCATGAAACAACTTCTGTGAACAATGGGAACACTGTGTGATATGGCCATGTAGCAGACAGGAAAATAGAGAGGAGCTGAGACCACCTAGTGAAATCCCACTAGCCTCATTCTTCCAAAAATTAATAAACATGACAAATAATACATTTTGGCATAATGCTTACTTTTCTGAAGAAGTCAAATGAATTTTTTTTATTATATGTCAGCTGCTGGTTGTTTATAGAAGACAATTTTACTGGACATTTCAAGCAAGAATCATAAAATTTCAGCATCAGATAGTACTGTTTTTAACCTTACTGTTCTTAACCTTAGGGAACCTAAGTAGTTGCCAACATGTTTTCAAAAGGGATGGTGAAAAGGAAATTTTGTAAAAAGGGAAGCATTTTTTATGAAAGACTTCTTGAAATGCTTTTCCCCCAGTAGACTTTTCCAATTTCTATTTATTCCTTTCTGTTAATGTAACATGCTTTGTATGGGTTATCTATCTTCAGGTTTCAAGTGTATTATCTTCTTTTAAATTTTCTTGAACTGCCGAGTACACAGTTTGAACATCTGAAGTATTGTCACCACAGAGCCAGCTTTCTAGATCTCACTTTATGTTCACTTTTCCAGTTTTTCATCATGGTATTTAGTAATGTTGGAATCAGAAAAAAAAAAAAAAAAAAAAAAAAAAGAGAGAGAAAAAAAAAGTGTATTTGCAGAATTACTTTCATGCTCCAGGTAATAATATCACATAAAATAATATCACATGCCTGTGTTACACAGTTTACAGAACTCAGTTTTATTGATGCTGTTAGCTTTGTCAACTGATCTATATGTCCATCAAACAGGCTGTTTGGCAAAACCCATTTTCCATATGTGTCCATTGATAGTGTTCATCATGTTTGCATTCTTTAATTGCTATTTCTCTGCAAGTTAGAGTGAACTTGAAATCCACAATCAGGTGAAATTACGAAGAGAATCTAGGACCTAAAGCTTTTTCTAATTAAGTAGCCAACATCACACAACTATCTCATTATTTAGAGCATCTATCCACTTGCATGGTTTAACTGTCTTTTAAAATGATGCCAAATGCAATTGAATGATGGTCTGAAATTTGAGAGAGATGTTTTCAAACCATTGTTTAAGGGGTTCTCAGACCAAGTTTTTGAGTGTGGAATCCATTGTAGATATAAATAAAGCAATCATCCAAAGTTTGGTGAGCTAATAATTGTTAATAGGGACACAAATGTGAAGACTGTAAGGCAATAATTAGTGCCCCTGACAGCTGTCATATGGAAGTATCATCAGTTGTAAAGGACACTTGCATGTTCCTCCAATAATGACAGCAGGCTTTCTATGGTTCCTGGAATCTCTCCTCCTCCTTGCAAGAAAATTTATGAGGATTAGTAAAGAAAAGAATTTGTGGTTGTGTATATTTATTTTTTTTTAGTAGAGAGAATAATAGATTCTATCAGGATGAATGCAATCAAACTAAAGTTACTACACCTCTTTACATCCTTTCAACTATGGTGTATGAAAAAAGAATGAATATTAGTATTTACATGTGTAAACCAAACTGTCATCTTGATACAAATTATTGGTGTAACCTGCTATTAATAAGATTTTTCACACAAGTTGCAATGACATTATTTCTGCTTCCTTGCTGGCATCTGGAAAACCTTAGGACTGTGATTACTATGTTTGTATTATATTTACATACTCTCTCTTGATCCGTATACTGGCTCGTATTTTCAGTCCCTCCTGACACAGTTTCTTACAGCTGACAGCAAAGCATGGTGCCTAGAAATGTAAAAGAAATCGTTACGACATGTAAGTTTATGCACTAACCTTGTAGTCTAGCTTAATTTTACATTCTGCTCATCATCTTGTCACACCGGTCCCCGGTCCTCCTGCTGGAGCACCCTACAAAGGGATTGAAGTCAGCATAATTTCCTCTTCACAAGGTAAGAGTTGTGCTGAACAGCAAATGTCTTCACAGAACCTAGCTTTTCATGGAGCATGATCATTAGCAGTTGTTCCCATTAAGTTATCTTAATTTCTACTTTCCAGTCTTATATCAGAGCAGCCATGTAATTGATCAGATCTGTGCGGTGATATTCTGGTGGTGTTTGGATCAAAATACAGATTTCCCATGTAAAATGAGACTCTCAGGTCTGAAGGTGATGCTTTGATATCTTCTCAACGGCAATTGTACTGAGAACAGCATTACAATTAACTATCTAACTGCTAGTGCAGAGTTTAAGATGTATCATTTTCTGTGACTTTCTTTAAAGTCACATATTTATTCTGTGGAAATGTTCAAATTATTTCAGGATACTGCAAGTAAATAATGGCTTTTTAAATACTAATAAGCTAATTAAGTAAAACAGAAATTCTGAAACCTCCACAGGACTGATAAACAAGGAAAGTGCTATTTCTTAACAGGCACCACATAGCCTTCACTTAAAAATCTCTGTGCATACTTTTAAATTGAAATTGAATACAATTTCTTTCTAAAGACAGAAAATTAAATATGATAATCTAAAAAATAAAAATAAACTAGAAATTAACTTCAATCATTCTTTCAAAAGAAACAAAAATGCATTCTGTCATATATAGACTGTACTGTTGTTCTGTCCTATTTCAACTCACATGGCCAGAGAGAAAGAGAGTGCACAATCAGAGTTTCATAAAAAGGTAAAGCTTAAATTTTCTTCAGTCTCTCTCCTTTTAATGCTCTTCGGGATTGAATCCATTAGGAGCCAAACAAAGCACATCTGTGTTGTTGTCCCTACTGACTCTCAGCATACAGTACATTCAAATATTGCAGCCAGAAGGCGCTTTACAAAAACAGCTTTCAAGATGTGCTCTTGAAATGCATTTGTGTACTCATTATGCAGTGCTATCTTTTGTCAGTGGGGAGTTCTGTAAATAAAGCACCAAGGTCTAATATTGCAGTAGCTGACAGCAGTAAAGTAAACTAGAACAGAGTAATCCTTTTTTTTTTTTTAGTTTACAACTGTGAAAAAAAATAATTAAAAAAGAAGTATAGAAGTCTTTTGTTATTTTTGCAAAACCTTGGAATATTTAAAGAGGCTCTGTGGAAGGAAACAGAGCAGTTTGTTGTCAAACCTTTTATGTTTATGATTTGCTGCTTTAACTACCCTATGTTTGACCTGTTTGAGTTAAACAACTATTTTGCATCAGTATATGCAGTTGGAAAGAGCACAGCTGCATGGAATATATAGTCCTTTCTGTTCCCAAACATGAAAGAATTGTTAATCCCAGAGTCCCACTGCAAGGTTGGTATAAATTAGATTTGTAATTCAGATTCTATAGGTGAAGAAAACAAAATGGGTGCTTGAATATTTTGGTGATGTTCACGGGACCCTTAGTGAAAATTTGGAGTTTAAGCAGTCTACTAGACCATCCTTGCTTTTGAAATGTTTTCTTCTGGCATCAAAAACAATGGATTACGTTTATAAAATCATTGTTGAATTATCATGGTTTTATTCCAAATACAATGAAAAAAATAAATGAAAAAACTTAGCACAGGTGCATATATTTGTTTTAACTACTGCTTTGAAAATGAAATTTGAATGTTGGCTATTACATTACAGTATTATTGGATGGCATCCTAAGAAAAAAGTACTGTTAATTGTGTTTGTAGAAAAGTAACATGCAATAAGCACAGACCATGAAATACTGAAATACAGAATACTGAAACACTTTAAAATAAACAAATAAAATAAACAAATACACAAACAAACAAGTGCAGCATTGTACTTTGACTTTTCAGAGAAATGCTTGCTTAAAAGTACTCACCTTTTACATATCTAGTTTAAGAAGGAAACGTGATGAGATGAACTTCTTTTATACAGGCAGTGTTCATTAGAGATCTTACAAAGGTGGACTGCTTCTACTGCATTCACAGTGAATCTATCAGGACAGGAATATCCCCCTAGCTTTTAGTGTTGCTGCCCTATTTTTATACTCAGTAAATGTGCATTTACTGAACCTAACAATAATATCTACTGGAGGCTGTCTTACAACCGGGCATTGAACTTCACTTTTTCAAACCTTTGTTGGTGGGACACTGGTTTCTGGATTGCTATTCTGTTAGCATGATGAACTAATTGACCTAGCAGGACTCCCTGTGGAATTGCAGCTTCTGCTTAGATCATCAGGAGTACAATTTGTTGTTTCATTTCCTCTTCGAGTCCCATCAGGGAAATTGAATTGTGAAAAGACTACCTACTGGGAGCATTCAGTCCTCATGACTGAATAAGTAACTTTATTTTATTATTTTTTTTTTGGTACTGTCTTAATTAACAACAAAAAGGAGACTTTGTTATGAGGGAGTCTGCTGTGATTCTGATACAGATGACTAACCACAGTTATAGAAGCACTTGATCCACATGGCCTCCTGGAGTCTGGGGGCCCTGTGCAGGTGCAAAGTTAACACAAAGCTTCAACAAGCTCTAAGTGCTTCATTCAGGAGAACTTGTCAAGTGTTATTGGGCCATCACCAAGCCTGAAGTCGGCAGGTATTAGCTGTTTAGCAAAAACATTCCAGAGTGAGAGGTCTGTCTTGTCTAGACTTTCAATTAGTAATGTTAATTAATGTTAATTGCTCAAAGCTGTTTGTAGTTATCTGTGAAAATAGAGAGGCTTTTGGGTTTTCAGTGCCACGACGTTGTAAGATAGTGATGTTAGGATTAAAAATGGTGCCTGGAGTTTTTTATTAGCAGGACACATATACTTCTCTTATTTATCATATTCCTTGGTAATATTTGGATAAAAAACACTAAAAATAAATGTTTAAATTTTAATTTTGCGTTACTATAATTATTTTTCCCCAGCCTTTTGAAGTTCCCTTTTGTGTGCAGGTAAAAAGGAGTGAATATTGTAACTGTTCACTAAAAGGAACCATTTCTATGTTTTTCTTAAGGAAACAGGTGAATAAGTTCTCCTTTTTGAAAGTTTAATGCTGACAAGCTTTCTCAGGGTACCACAATACAAAAGAAAAGGTCTAGGAAAAATAATAATGCAGGAAGCTCTCTCTTGGCGGGGAAGCAGTTTCTTCAGCGTAAATGTTCTCTGTATTCTCAGTTGTAAAATTTAGTATTTTGAAATAATAATAAATTTGAAATTACAGCTGTATATTTACTGTAGGGTGCTTAAGGCTCACAAAGATGGCTTTAGAGGAGCTTTACCCATCATATGCAAATCTGTATTTGCAATAAAATGAAAGTCACAGGGAAGATTCAAATTTTATGTTCATACCCCTTGCAGTTTATTGAAGGAAAGCTCTTCCATCATGGAAGACAGTACCTACCTCAAAAAATAGAAAGACAGCAGCAGCTATCTTTATTTATTTATGTGTTTTACTTCTGTGTGTGAGTTTGGTCTTTGCTAATGTTATATTAAGCTCAGAAGTGAAATGATGTTTTCATTTTGGTCAGAAAAATATAAAGCCGAGGTGGTATCTCTAAACTCCCCTTCCTTTCACTATTCACTCTCCCTATGCAATTTTATAGTCTTCCAACGTGAATTCTGAATGTTAGATGTGAACAAACACAAAAAATACTGAAATACCTTCTGAGGACACTTAACTTGTCCATTGGCATAAGGGTGAAGTGCAGCATACCAACAGCTGTGCTGGGGAAAGGAGCAGGTAAATGGGGGCAATGCAGCACCATGGGTCTGAGCTGAGATGGTGAGCAAGGCCAGCCTCACCTTCATTTCTGGAAGGATCCTATATTTTGAACACTCGTGGAGAAGAGAAAACACAGCTATCTTCAAAGACAAAGAATAAAAATACAGGTTAGCTTCTGGAATATGTTTTTATTTTGCCATGCATATTGATCATGACCGAAAATCAAAAGTGTTTATTTGGATGTTACAGCTTAAGGGAATACCATTAACAGAAATTTGTAGATAGTCATTCTGTTGGTTTCATGCTAATTCTCTTTTCTTTGAATTCCTGTGTTTCCTCCATAAGATACGCAGGTACTTCAAAGCAGAGATATATCAGAAAATTTCTTTGGTTGAAAAAGCAGGAAAGCTGCTTGTAGTGCAGAAGACGAGATAAACATTTTCTCGAGTTTAATTAGCAATGGCTGTTGTGTATGGTGTGGGTTTTTTTTTCCTTTTTTATTGCTTATGATTGCAAATGGGTGTGTCTATGCTGCTCTGTTTCTGTGCCGCTCTAAACACCGTCCAACAATGCAGTGCACAGCTTTTAGTGCTCCAGTGGTTCCTCTGTATTTGGAGCATTTTGATAAATGTATTTTTATTCCAATTTGTGTTATATATGAAGATCTGTGAATACAACCTACTGGAAATCATTCTTTTCAAATGATGCAAACATCTGAAGAAGCTAATATTTAGTCATATTGAAAGAGTTCTGTGCTTGATTTTCATGAAATTATATATACACCATTAATCATGTTTTTTACTTAAATATTTTACTAGCTTTTTTAAATGTTTGAATGGAAATTACATAAAAGATTCCATTTCTCTGGCTTCCATATAAGGTATAGACCTTTCAGAGATTATGCTTATACAAAATTTTACTGATAAGTGCAACCAATGTAACCAGTGGACCTCTGGTTTTAGGAAATTTGCCTTACTTCTGTTAATATTAGTAGAGTTTTCCACTCTTATAAATTGGTACCTAGTTGTCATTACCTTTTCACAAACTGTACAAGCTAAGTCTTCTGTTGATCAACTCATTCAATGTGTTCTAAGACCTTAATTTCAGGCAAGGTGAGTGAGCATTTCTAGAAATCTATTTACAGATCTATATAAATGTTAGATGTGAACAAACACAAAAAATACTGAAATACCTTCTGAGGACACTTAACTTGTCCATTGGCATAAGGGTGAAGTGCAGCATACCAACAGCTATGAACAGCTATGCTGGGGAAAGGATCAGTTGGAAAATTTATATCAATAATTTATATCAAATAATTTTCTTTTTCGTTTTATGAAGGTTGGTAATTTTTATTCACTAAGATTACCTGCTATACTATTGAAGAGGAGATTGTGTGTGTGTGTGTCTGTGTGTATACACAGATATACGTGTACATGTATATAAAACATGTATGCACATTTTTAACATGTGGAGGAAGACTTTTTGACTATATTCATTTATTTATCAGTTCTATAAAAAGCTTCATTATCTCTAGGTTCTGTACTGCAAAATAAAAGTAATGATCACAGTTTCCATGCAAATAGATTAGCAGTCCAAAATACTCCTTTGAGATCTGCAGTTCCTCAGGCTTAGGCCACTAGAGAACCATTACAGATTTGAATGAAGAACGATGTCTTTAAAGCATAGTATCTTATCCTTTATCCTGGATGCTCCTGGTATGACTGATCTTGGTAAAATTAAGGGAACCCATTGTGTTGCTTAAAGTTACCTTGGCTGTGCCTCTATCCCAAGTAGTTATTTTCTAAATATATCTGTGTATGCTGGAAAATCTTAACTGAGACTGAGAATCTGGCTAGCAGTGCTGCACTGTTTCTAATTAGGATCTTGTATGTCACTTCTATGATACCCTGATTGAGCCATAGAGACTTCCCTTTTTGTTAATTAGTTCAGTTCACGCTGCATCCAGCATGGCTGGGTTATACAGGTGTGCAAAAAAATATATTAAAAACAAAATAAAATAGAAGAAATCTTTAATGTAGAGCATTTTGATAGCCATTAATATTGTTGCATTTTCCAAAATCTTTTTGTTGCTATTACTTTTTGTTTTGTATGCCTCAGAAGAAATCTTCTGTTGAAGTTCTGATATAATTGTTTTTTAATTTATGCCAGTTATTTTCAGGTGCCAGGATAAGAGGAGCGTAAAACATTACAAAAGAAAAGTAAAGGCAAATACTTGCTATTGTATAAGAACAGACATTAATATAAATAATGCTATTAAGAAATCCAGTATACTTATGCACACAAGAGGTTTTGTTGCCAAAGAATTTCATATTCAATTTTCATGTTCTTTTCCTCTTACATCAGATACTTTGATCAAAGCAGGCAGCTTGCCAAATAGCTTTTTATCTTATAACAACAAAAATAATGTAAAATGTGAAGTAATTAAATTTGAAGTACTCATAATGAGGTGAAGAACCATATTCAAGTGGTGCTGGGAAGTGAGTTATGTATGCGTGTTCATGGGATACCTGCTCTGCCTTCTGTGGCAGGTATTTGTGTTCCTCTAAGGTCAACGTTAGTAATAATGAACATTGCCAACTCTTTTTTTTTTTTGATTCGGATCTTTAATGTTTCCTTTCTCTATTTTTATAGCAGCATTGTTGTGGATTGCTATGCTGATCATTTGAAAAAGAGGTTAAATGAGAAGTTCCTTTATAATGCATAGAAGAATGTATTAGAAGTTGCAGCGTCCTTTCTTATAAAGTCATGTTAATGTAATTTTACATTCCTCACCAACTCATCTGTAAAATAGGATTGCCTTCCTGCTAAAAGAAAGCTATGATGTAACTTTTTTTTTTTTAATATTTTTTGTGTGAGTGATATTGTGTCTGAGAGGACTTTTAACACACTACGTAGCCATCTGTACAATGTAGCTTGTCATTACTGGGTTCTGCTTTTTATAGCATTCTGCCTCAGGAAATTTTTAAATATTTGCATAGAGAGCATTAATAGTAACTTGCATCCTGATGCTGTATTTGTGTGATTCTGAAGTGAGTCATCTGTATGCAGCGCTAGCTGAGTTCCTATAATTGCTTCATCCCGTGTTTGATACGAGAGATAAGAGAACATTTCAAGCTAGGGGAATTCCCAAATAATTGCCCTCTCCTTATTAATTGCAAATTATTTCTCAGTTAGAATTGCCTTCCTCTCTTCTACCTCAATGAGGCATTTTCTTATTGTAAATTTTGGAAATATTTTTGGAAATAGCCATGGTTTCATATGGAAGGCAGGCATCATTTGGAGTAAGATTTTACTTAGTTGTCACCCATCTGTTTTTCTCAATTCGGTAAAACTGCAAGTTCAGTTTTGCTGGATTTTTATGACTTGGCTTGCTTGTTTGTTTTTCTGGCTGCATGATACACCCTGCCTTCTGGCCAGGGGGCCAGCCTGCTTCCCCAGGGCTTTTGGCATCAGGTAGGAAGCAGCGCCTTGTGGCTGGCCACCAGCATGAGTGGCATGGGAAGCAATGTTGTGAGGTTACAGAACTTGGGGAAGTTGCGAAATTTTTTATTTGTCAGAATAACTCCACTGCATTGTCTCCATTCAGATGTACTCAGTCTAAGAATTTTTTTCTCAGGGCTATTGCTGGTATAGATTGGGAGGCCTTTGACCAAAGAAGGTACCAAATCCCACACTGGGGATTGCAATCTTCATAAATAAAATTTGTATAGGTGCTTCTTTAACATTACTTGATCATTAAATGGAGTGTACCTGAATCTAGGCAAAATGGGTAGACATCTTTGAACCTTTCAGTTATAACAATCTTCTGCTAATTTTTATTCACTTCTATGAACATGGTACTTCGTCAAACCTGAGATACCAAACCCCAGAGGTATTTTATTATTTTCCATTAGCACTTAAATGCTTACTGTATAGACACTTTGGTCATAAACAAATAATCTAAATGGCATTGTTGATGTAATAAAGTTAGTATATTAAGTTGGTTTCTATTGATTTTGGGTCAGGGTTGAAATAAGAGTAGTTTCGGAAGTAGAGGGGAGATATACAAATGCAAAAGGAGTTTAAATTCATGTTTCACTAAAATAGCA